AGATGCCCGAACATAACATTTGAGGCATTCTTGGCTAAAATTTGATCAAATCTGTAATGGACGACCCTGCTAGACAGTGGCGTATCCAAGGTGGGGGGGGTGGGGGGGGGGGCGCCCCCACCCCCCCCTAAATCCGCCCCTGATCTTTATACAAAGTACATGAAATTAATATTAGTAACATATAAAATTTGAAGCCATCAGCGGTCTAAGTCCTCACCAGGGTGTTTCCCTACAATTGTAACTTTTATATATCAAAATTTACATAATTTCAATCTAGTTTATATAATATACAAATTATATTCTAATTGCTTATTAGTGTTTTTTTAGATGTATATAAAGGAACTGATGAATATTAAGTGGGTATAATATTTCTTTTTATCAATCAATCAACGTAACATTTATTTCACCAAAGATAACAAGATAGTGAAAGTACAGTGATATCAAATGATAATTAAAATGCGATAATTTCATTCATACTGTAGATTGGGGACAAGGTATACATCATTGTCGGGATAGAGACTTTCATTATTTAGTAAAACATAACAATCAATAATATAAAGTGATTGCAGGAAACTAAAGCAAAAATAATGAAAAATGTAAATGATGACTATTTTGTACTAGTACTAGTTCAGTATAATCTTAACAAGTACCTTTGTTTTTTGGTCGTAAGTTAGCCAATGCAACAATCTCATGTCCCTCTGCAACACACTGCATCATATTGTAGCAGCTATCTTTACCACCACTAAAATGAAGTAACAAAAGGAAACTATAAAGTATATCAGTTTCTAGTGCTGACTCCTTGATTTGTTTACATGCTGATTTTTTGCCACAAAGCAAGGACAGAAGGGAACACCAGCAGGGAAAGGACTTATATCCCAATTGTACAGGCCAAATTTGATAATTTGAGGTCTTATTTAATCCACTTTTGAAGATGCATGTATTAACAGTTTTCAGTGGCGGACACAGGAATTTTAAACCTAATGCCAAGGAGGGACTTTTCACAGATGCAGGAGATACCACTTCAGCCCCATCATGGTTGGGGCTGATGGACAAAATTTTCTTTTGTCCCCATTTTTTATTAATTCTGAAAAATTTAGGACTGGGCCTTCTTGAATCCACCACTGTCAGTTGCAGATCTAGGAATTCGAACTAGAGGGGGTGGCAAGGGACAGACTTTTACAGATCGAGGGTCTATAACACCTCAACCTCTACCATAGTTGGTTGGGCTTATTTATGATTATAGCACATCTACAGTAGATGGCCGGAGATGGCACTCTCAGACCTGCCATAATCATAATTTTTCCTACCTCAGCCTCAACCATGGTGGGGCTGAGGTGCGTGAACCTTTGTGAAACATCCTCCCTGGGCCACCCACAATTTTGAATTCCTGGACCCGCCACTGGTGAATCATTGACATGTAAGCAGTGAGGAAAACACTTAAATTCCTCAAAAAGCGTATATAGGCAGTTAAAAGTCGTTGCTTGCACGATCTACAGGCGGTCCTGAAGGTTAGGTGGATGGATTTCTAAAATGTGTGAGTGAGTTTTTAATTTTCTACCCCTTGAAAATGTGGACCTTAGGTAATTTGGAGGGGACATGGGTACGGGCCTGCTATACCCCCCCCCCCCCCCCACATATGGGCCTGCATCTACTCTGCAGAAAGAAAAAAATTATAAAAACCCTAAAATTAACTCAACGAGCAAACAATAAGAATTTAAGTCAAAAATGAATGGTTAAAAAAAATCAAACTTTGTTCAATTAAATTAAAATTGCTGAAACTAAAACAACAAATTAACCATTAAAACACAATTAAAACTGCTACCTAATATTTTTTTAAATGTACTAAAATTCATTGTTTAAAATTGCTTTCATAAAAGGAATACTTGATTTTTTTCAACCTTTCCGTCCTACACTTTCATTATTGTTAATTGCTTAGCACTTTGTTAAAAGGGTACTAAATCTTGGTGATTCTCAGATACTGTTAGTTAGCAAAGCAAGTAAGTAGTTCTGAATGCAGGCTGCATGCTAGTGTATTTACATTTGCCCACAACTGTCACACACAATTTAAATTGAATTGCAACAAATTCAAAGGTACCTTGCACAAATAAAGAAGTCCGCAACAAAAATTCAAAAGTATGCTCCCACAATTAAAGAAGTCCGCAACAATTACAAAAGTTCCCCACGTACAATTAAAGAACTCAGCAACAAATTCAAAAGTACCTCGCACTATTAAACAACTTGCAACAAATTCAAAAGTTCCCAGCGCACAATTTAACTCTACAACAAATTCAAAAATACCTCGCACAGTTGCGGCAGAAATTATAGAGGGTGCTATTTTAGGTCAGTTAGGAGAACTGATATGCATGAATATGCATACGGACTCACCCTCGCGAAACAGAGTCAGTTGTGTATGAGTTTTATGCATGGATGAACGCTATGGAGTCACTAGGCCAAAATATCTTAAATAAGCCTTGGTAGTCAAGACAGTGTAAAAATTGTTGTACTAGATTAGACACATTCTATGTAGACCTACAGCATGGTCTTCGAAAGTAACTATAAAAAAACAGAGTAGGCTAATATTGAATCTGGCACCGTATTTGAGTAGGCCTAGGCCTACAGTTAGGCTTATATACAGTATGATGTGTGTTGTAGCAATTGTATGCTCCCTATTACTTAGTAGTACTGATTCCGAAAGACATTTAGAAATGCTTATAAACAAATTACTTTGGACACAGTTAACTTACAATTTTAAAATTTAAAATTAAAAAAATTTTTTTATGAGAAAAAAAAATCCCTGCTTATTAACCGACAGTGAAAGTCTCTGTATTACTGTATATTCTTTTGCATGATTCATTGGTTGGTAACATTTAAGGATTTTTGTAGAACCGTCTGTAAATCAATGAAAGCTATTTTTACTTCCATCTGAATTTGATCGTTTTAAATACAAAGCTATTCAATATTTAATTGGGTAGACACAATCTAAACAGTACGTCATATCATGTGTATTGAATATCGTAAAATTAGTGTTTATAATATACCTGCTTGCTATATAATCTATGCCTTTATTTATATTGAATATGAACGAAATGTTTGTAAGAAGTCAACATTAAAACAATACATAGAATTGTTTCTGTGTGTCCGAGCACTTCTAAACATTTATCCTTTAGAATCAGTGTGATAGCAGTTAATTATTGCTATACTTCACACTACTCAAATAATTGACCAGAAAATCAACGCTGCTTTTTTATACTTTCAATGAGTACGTAAACACTGCCTAGGCATAGGGATATTCATTCCTGATGATGACATAATTAATGTCGAAATATTGAATCCCAACACGATGGCATGCATTTCAATACTACAATACATTTCAATGTATTATACTTTCTTATAGGGATATTAGTACTACAGTAATAGTCAATTACGGTAGTGCACTCTGTATCGACTGTATACACTTTCCTCTCGACCAACTACCAAGATATTTTGGCCTACCCTAACCATAGAGGAATTAGTTTATCTTGACACTTCTTTTCGCTAGTCGCGAACACCACACCACTTCCACGACTCGCGAAAAGAAGTGTCAAGCATGTATGCAATATTCATGTTATCAGTTCACCTAAAATGACCTTAAATAGTGCCCTCTATAATTTCAACCGAAACTGAAACTGTATGGGGAAAAAAATAATGCAGACCGGCCTAGTTAGCTACGGGCGAGTTCGAGTAGACTGCTTCCCGTGTATGTTGTTACTTTAGGCCCTAGCCTAGGCTGACTAGCCCTGTATTCAGTGGCCTATTAAGGCCTAGGCCAGTTTGTAGGCTAAGCCTCCTAATATAGTAACGGGGCCTAGCCTAGCATGGCGTAGTAAAACTAGGAGTCCTACCTAAAGTGAGCAATTAATAAAAAGTTAAAACCTTATCAATGCAACTGCCTTCATTATGCCCGATGATTCGTGGTGCGAGGCCAAAAGAAAACAATATCTCGCACACGTGTATTGGTTGGTCCATGATATGGAACGCCAAAAGGACTAGGTCGCAGTGCAAACTTTCAGTGGCGCAGTGCAAACTTTGTGTCACAGTGCAAAACTCAAGCAGCAGTCACTGTGAGAGCCGGGGAGTGACGGCGCTAGCGGAAAGCCCCACCCCCACCCCCTCATCGAGCAGGTCAAACCCTACCCATAACAAGGGAGCTAAGCAGTATAGTATTTTTTATAAACACAAAATGTACATGAAACATTAGTTGACTAACAATTATTTGTATTACTGTACTATAATATTATAGTTTATGATTATTATTATTATTAATATTACGTGTATCACTTGGTGTTATTTTTCTTTTTTTTTACAGAAACAACGAAAATGTTACAAATTCGACTTGGTTTGAGACAAGTTTCTCTTTAACGTTTGTTGCGATATATATTTTATTAATACATAAATTGAATGGAGATTTATGAAATAAATATAGTCAATAGATTACGGTAGTTCATCATACATTTGTTTTCTTGTCTGTTACGTTTCCATTTATCTTGAATGTTCATCATGTTTATAATTTGATAAATGAACTGAATGAAGGAAAATGAAGGAAATATATAGTTTTTTCATATTTATTTTCCACATAAAATTTTTAATATTAAACACCGTACATTTTAATGGCCCATTTCAGGCTTCTTTCATATTCATAAGCCCGACAAAATGACTCTTTCTAGTCCTATTCTATAGTTGCGCTAGAATTTAATTTCCCACAAACTAGATTTCCATGGTTCTCTTGAGGTGAAGCAGCACAAGGTTTATTGTTTGTTTTATTTCCATTTTTATACATATTCTGATGTTTATAACATACATAGTAAAATGCAGTTTTAATATATAATTTAAAATACATGTTTTTAGCCATTCCACGGTTTCGGTCTTCGGGGCGGGCCTCCTTTTAAGGCTAGAAATATTCACTACTTCGAGGACTCCTGTGTACTAGTTGCCTGTAAATAACCATAAAATCGGAAAGAAACTTTCCCACAACCAAG